CCCCTCCAGAGATACTTACTTTTTATGGTCCCCCGAATATAACCCCGAAATACTTGGAACAAGGTTGGAACAAAGCTAAATAAACATGGGTGTTCTATTGCTTTATCCTTAGACTTGAAATCGCTAACTTCAACAAGGCAATGGCGGAAGAGAACGCTGATGGGATGATAGAAGAACTGGAAAGGTGAGGTTTTGTCAGTTTGGTATCTTGTTTTTATTATAGTTATAATAATTATCTTTTTTCAAGCAGTTATATTGTTTTCCCCTTTCGTGCTTATTTTTGTGTTTCGTGTGTGTGTGTTTTCTTTCTTTTCTCTCTCCTTTTCCATTGTGTTTTATATCCACGATTGTTTTCCATTTTGGTTTGCTTTCAGGACACAGAAATCAGAGGCTCTAATGTTTTCTGAAAAACAAGAGCTGAACTCCAAATGCGAAAGATTATTAGAAGAAAAAATGAAGCTAGAACAGGTGAATAAAATATAGCTAACAAAAGAAATCAAAAGTGACTACGCATGTTGTCAAGGAAAGTGGTAACATTAATAAGAAAGTGGAAGAGAATCAGGGGGGTGCTTACTATTTCAACCAATCTATCCTGTTGGATATTCGTTTTCCAATGACGAGAAAAGAGCTGGAATAGAACACGCGTCTACCGAAAGAACCGAAAAGAGCGGGAAAAATGGATCATCTCAATCGGAAGACCGACCTGGCTCCAACGTTGGTTCATTCATTTATTCATCTTAAAGGTTTTTTTTTTCGTTTTAGGCAGTGAAAAAGCTTGGTGACGAGAACGCTAAACTAACGGGACACCAGAACCCGCAACAGAAGATCCAATACTTGCTGGCAATCAAAAGAGAGAACAACGAGCTACAACAGGTTTGTATGCTTCATAGTTACCTCGGCTGTAATCCACAGGTAGCCCAAGCATAGTTCCCGAAAATCCTCTGCTATAGACCACAGGTCAAGCCCAAGCAAGCATAGTTCATTGTTGCTTTTTGATATTTTACCTATCCCTCCCCCCACTCAAAGTCGTAACGTTTTACTTACTGTTAATATTCTCATGGACCCCTTGCAGCACGTCGGAATACAGGTAAATTTGGGGGACACAACAATGGGTTTCCGATTCTCAAGAGATTAAAATTCTTTTGTTTTGTCCTCCAAATTAAGCTCCTTTGAAGTCACATGCAAGGGGTCTATATTTGTCTGTCTGCTCAGTTTAGATCAGTATAATGGACTGCCTCGACGATACGGCTGCCATCTTGCCAGGGGGCAAAACAAAACAAGATGACGGAAAATATATTAAGTTTCATGTGTTTGTCTATTTGTATGGGTAAAGGTGATTGATGTGGCGTATTCTTGTAGTGAGCTGTTAATATCAATCGATGTCATTAATGTAGCAAAGCTTTATTTGCCCCCTGCACATTCCGTAATGCCATGCAACCCAAAATGGCCGCCATATCGTCGAAGTAGTCCTTTATTCTTGTAACCCAAAAGCTATGCTTGGTCTACCTGTGGTTATTCCTCCCGTCCCTTTTATCATTCAAAGTCAAAAGGTCTCTGCTCTTGGTTCGTATTCTAATAGTTATCTGTTCTTTGTAAAACTCTATATTTGACAGGAAATACGCAAGTTACGTGCAGACAAGGAAAAATGTAGGTGTGGCCATGAGCTGATCGCCAATGGAAGGAAAGATGATTGAAGTATAAACTATACCATTAACATGTAGCCTTAATAACCGATAGAACAGCAAATATTATGATATAGTGCACCAATTAGGACTCCTGCTTTCATTTTGGTCATCGCTAACAAGCACGAACCATCGGTACCGTTTTCTCACTAAGTTCAAGTGGGAATCACGACTTTTGAATGCCCGAATAGCTAAGTTTAGAGGTTAATGTATAAAAGTGCCGTGCCGTGAATTGGCCACATTAGCGATTCCAGAATTCTTACTGCGTATGATAGCATATTATGTATGACTATGTAAAATCATAACAGACACGGTCACGGTACGGATTCAAGATATTAGTTGTTATCAAGGCGCGGGCAATTAGCGTGAGATTAAAGACGATCCAATATAAAGGTGTTACAAATAATATACGTTACGGCAAACCTGTAACCGTCATGTAACACAATGATGAGTCGTAATTGAGGATACACTGCAAAATACAGAAAGCAATTTCAAGGGCACGGCAAGTCGTACCGTGCACATGATATAGCTTGGTAATTATTTACGTTAATCTCTCATCTTAAACATCTCTACTACAACATGGCAACGTCAGCGAACGACATGACCACACCTTGCGGTGCGCGCTTTTATATAATTTTTTGTTCATTGGCATTTCCGAGGTCGCTCAGAAAACTGGTAAGAAGTAGGGCGCGCTCTGCATCATGGGGCTGTTTTAGGGTCCCCCATTGTCTTTTTCGTGTTCCAGGTTTTAGTTTTTGAATTGAGTAACATTTACTTTGGTTTTACGACCCGCCTCCCAAGAGAGCTTCCTAACTTAGCTTCCCCCCCATTTAGAAAAAAATGGAGCCCGTTTAAACAGTCCAATGATTCAATCTCACTCTTCACTGGTCAAGTGTTCTGGTTTTCCATTCACCCACCATTAATCGATATATTCCACTTGGCGGGAAAGCTTGTACATCAAAGGCTAGCCAAAACAAAGTCAGCTGAATGACTATTAAAAACTTGAATATTGATTTTATTTTCACATTAAAAAGTGAAAACGTATTGACTGAGCTTATATTACCAACTAATTTTAGCACCTAATTTTATATTCACATTCACGAAAAAACTCAAAAGTAATCATTACGTAGATTTTTTTTGTCATTGTTGACGAAACTAATTCAAGATTTTTATTATCGTTCTTATATCCTCTTCGTGTCGTCATAGTAACAGGTCTGTTAGTGTCAAAATATCAGTTCCTAGGGATTTTCCACCATCTTACTATTTTGTGTACTGCTTCTCATGTTTTTTTGCTAATTAAATAATAATTCAAAATTGCGCTCCACACCCTTGCTCGTTTTTTAAATAGCCACTGAAAAATTACCATTCATGCAGTCGTTGAAAAATCGAGCCGGAACTTGCCACACGACCATACATTTCTTTGTAACTTTTAGTGTTTTCAAAAACATTTTACTCTCAAATTTTCTGTAGTTACTAAATAAGACATTCTCTTTCGGTTTGCTTGTAGCTTGAATTTTCTAATGCTAATGAGGAAATAACGTAAATGAATATCGGCCTATTGATAGCAACTTATTTTAATTTTAACACTCAAATGGTTTCTGTTGTCAAAATGTATTACGAACTTAGTCCAAAGTCACCTAGTAACGGTGACATATTCTCCTTTTATATTGAAAAGTTCGCTTTAATAGTTTTTTTCTTTTTCAATTAGTTTGACTTTAATTACTCTCACTTTTATCAACGCAGGTGTTTTTTAATATTTGTCCAAGAGCGGTACTTCGTACACCTGGATGCCTCACGGCAAAATGAAAAGAGGCTGTTACCTTTAATTACAGAATAATCTATGTACATCCTGTATTGAGTCTGCACATTGATTCATTGCGGTCAAAATCATTGATGGCGATGTTATTGTTTAGAAGCAATACCAGATTAAACCTGCTTATTTCAATTCATAGCCTTCATTCTACGATAAAGCTTAGCCTAACTGTGCTAGTAAGTCAATAGGCCATTTGCATTATGGCGTCATTTTACTACCATTACCAAAATGCTTCGTGAATTTTCTTTCTTATTCAAATTTGTAGTTCCTCATGGGAATAGTGAGACAATTGGTGCTAATTAACAGAACAAAAGACAGTGTGCAATGGAGTCTGGTAGTGGTAGTAAATGACGCCATAATGCAAATGGCCTATTCTTTCGTTAGATGCCACGGTAAGGGACGGACCATTAGATAATTGAGGGGGGAGGGGGGGGGGTTGCATAAATCCCAAAAAAATATCGAACAAGCACTTCACCTACGGAAAAAATGTCGTGCAGTCTATCCTTTCAGTAAAGTAATATCGAGGAACCTGACAAATGTGTGCAGGGGTTGTTACAATGAAAAAATGAACATCGCGCAACATAAATTTCTGTAACACCCCCCCACCCCCCACCCCTAATATTATCTAATGGTCCACTATACCTAAGGGTGGTGCCTCATCGTATACTGAGAATTGGAATTACATGTGTGAAAATACAGAAGAAAGTAGGGTAAGTACTTATACGCTTATAGCAGCTATCTCGTTACCGAAGGATCTGAACCATATTTACTCTACGAAAAAAGAACAAAATGCACTGCTAATCAGGAAATCTCCCCACAGCCGTTCTAAACAACGTGTTGCTTGTACCAATTTTCTGTATTCTCGTAGTTTAGTATGTGTAATTTCGCAAATTTCGTTCTAAATAAAGATTGATTGATTGATTGATTGATTACGCAACACTAAGAACGGCTGCGGGGGACATCTCCATGCATGTGGTAAATAAATAAAAAAACATGTCTTCGCCATTGTGAAGGTTTACAAACAGCAAAATGAAATACGCTGTAGGGAATGAAGCTATATTAAAAAAAGTGATCACTTCTGCTGATTTGCGAGAAAAAAAGAACGTCATATTTAATCTGTCTAATACCAAAACAATTACAAGGGCTCTTCTTAAAAGCAAATTACTCGACAAATATTAATTTTCTTTTTAATTACCTTCGCTTATTTTTTGATTTTTTTCTATCCTGGATTACTTGCCTGGCGGATATCAGCTTTAAGCCATATTTAAAGCCTTTATTTGCTTTAGAAACTTTTATCCACTTATATTTTATTCCTCTATGGCTGTGCACCATATCTTGTTGGTGTTTATCTATTCAACAGAAATATGAAGTAAAATGTTTTTAATCTTAGAGTTACTGTCAAATAAGTTATCGAATATATTCTATTCTAATGATCTTGGTATTTTCAAAGGTGCACTGTGTAGCGTGGAGATTTTTTCTACAATTTTTTGTGTCTTCAACGTGAACAATTTCGGATTAATTATTGGCCCAATTTTACTCAAAAACAAGCACCACTACTGAATTCAATGTTCGATGCGGACTCTCACCTTACATAATGCTTTTTACAGAGAGAGAAAAAAACGGATAACCCAGTGAAAAACAAGAAAGAGAGCACAAGAACATCAAGGCCCGGTTGTACGAAGGGTGGATAGTGCTATCCGACGGATAAATCCTTATCCAGTGAATAAATTAATTGGATATAAGCATCGACTATCCCCTGGATAAGGATTTATCCATTGGATAGCACTATCCACCCTTCAAACAACCAGGCCCAGCAATATATTCGCTAAAGCTGTTTTGCAAACCGTTGTTCTGCTTCCGTAATTCAATACTTTTGTTCCTGCAACAGGCTTTTTAAATTAATGGCCGAAGAGAACCGTTTATTCCACCGTTACGTAAATAAAGCACTAATGAGACCATACCATTTCACTATAATAAGGTTCAACATATGTTCTATAATGTGTTTGTTGTGGATAGGTTTTGCTATGTTTACCCCAACAGTTGATACTTGCGAAGCTTTGCGAGTGCTACCAGATTACTTCTTCACTATTTGGCTGACCACAGACTTGAAAAATTGCGCTTTCGTTGTCTTAGCCTTTATACATAGGCTTATTCAAGATAATCTTTTTCAAGTTGGTGAAGCGAAAAACTTAAGATATTGATTTTTGTGGTTGTAATCGTAAGAAAGTTTGAAGCTTGAGCTCAGCGACGCCTTGAGGCAATTAGTCTCTTAACTGCCTTTCTGAACACTCGATTTCGCCAAGCATAAATAAAAGGATTCCATATTACAGAAGTGTGAGCCAACATTAAGACAAGTGAAGCTTCTGCTTCTGTCACAGTCGTAAAAAATAGGATTCTCTCACACATGACGGCAAAAACGGGCAGGAAACATACTAGGAAAATCCCAATAACTATCGCAAACGTCTGGGTAGATTTGAGGTGAATTTGAAAATATTTTTCATCGGGCCTTTTGTTCAAGGCACGTTTCTGAGCTTTTATCTGTTTAACGTGATTCATTGCTTGTTTCCAAATGTAACAGTACGAAATTACGATGATCAAAATAGGGAGAAGAAAGACGAAAATCAAAATGCAAATTAAAAAGACTTTGAACTTGGTCGAAAGATTATCCCATGTTGTGTTCTTATTCGCTGGTCGGGTCCAAAATGCCATGCAGGGATCAATCGTTGTATCTAGCGTTGACCTTATTTTCGACGACTTCAACACCACTGGAATCATCGCGATTTGAAAAAGTCCAAACATCCAAATCCCGATCAAACAGCGACTTACTCTAGCGCGAGAGACCATGGAGTTATATCTGAGAGAGTACTTTACTGCTAAAAGTCGATCAATACTGATAGCACAGAGATGGAAGATGATGAGTGAAGTGATGATATATCCAAACGATGAATACACCATACACACATACGTACGAATACTCCCTTCACATAAAGCACTGGTTATCTTGAAAACAAAACTCAATACCATTAGAAGGTCACAGTAAGCCATGCTTAGGACAATTGCGTTAGAAGGCGTTCGGATGGTCTTGTTCAAATGATATGCAGCACATATTAACGAGTTGCCGGTGATTGTAAGCAACACAAAAATTGCATTAAATGTAATTTGAATGACTTGTCGTCTTTCGGAAAATTTAAACGACTCCTTCTCACTTTCATTCCCTTCTTGCATATCGATCTGTTCTATAAAGTGAATTTGCACTACTTTTTTAAAGCTTAAAATGCTCTTCCGTACGTATAAACTGTAATCATGGCAAATGCAATCTCCCCTGCCACTAGACTAGTTAATACTAATATTTCAAAGAAATAAAATTAACAGATATAAACATATTCAAAAAAATTCCGTCTTCTGATTCGTACATTCAATTCTGAATCAATTCAGATGAGGTAGGTGAGAATCCGCAATTCCCTCAATACCAGACCGCGTGATGGGAACAAGCTTGTCCTGCTGGGATAAAGTAATAAGTTTAAAGTGAGCTGGTGTTTTCAAAAACGTAAATGAGACAGATTGACAACACCGACATGGCAGCTGGTAAAAGTTTGTTTGCTTAAGAAACCAGGAACCTTTTGACGAAATTTCCTTTTCAGTTTTTTCGAGATTTTTTTAGTGGGAATTCCTGATTGTACTGATTACTGAGTATTTTACTAGGTAATACTTCTGGCGCGACATTTTTTCTCCTTCGCAAGTTCGTTTTCAAAAAGATTTTTTCTCGGCGAGGTTGTGTCACTTTCTAGAAGGGAGAATTTTTGGGGTTTAGTGGCATTTTCTAACAAGAATGCAATGTATACATCAATTGGATGATGTGTCCAACTGGTAGAGTCGACCAGTTTTTATCTCAATGTTACACATATATTCACATGCGGTATAAAATCTGTTTCTATTCTAACCTGAGTAGCAGCCTTTGCTTGGGGAGGAGTTGGGAGCATTGGGAGGAAGGGAAGGAAGGCCTCTCTCCTCTCCCCCTCCCCCTTTCGCTAAGAGAGCCTGGTACCCAGGTTATTTCTATTCGTAATACATTTCCAGTCAAGAAAAAACTTTTGTAATACATATACGATCAACAACTAATCTATGAGCCATTTCGAGGTCGAGAAAAAAAGTAACTATAGCTCTAGTTGACATCGGAGTGCATTGTGGCACTGCTTAACGAGAACATTTTCTAATATACATATATACCAATTTTGAGACAACGATACCACGAAATGTTGACGGCTAGTTGGGAGAAAATATATTCGGTATTGGGCTGAGTCGCGAAGTAGTCAGCGTGCAGGCCGAATTTGGTCGGAAAGCGTTCAGGCTATAACCTTGACTCGCAACGTTGAATAACTCATATAAAAGCTAAGTAAAAGTTATAAGAAGTAAAAGGTAAGTTGATTTATAGTAGCACGAGCCCTTTCTACAGTCGTGGACGAGAGAAGCTAGTAATATTTCAATTATAAGCCGACAATGAGGATGGACGGGATTGAAATCCTGTCTAGTCCGATATTGGAGGCTTTGAAATGACTTCTCATGATCATTAATTATTCGACTTGGAGTAGCTGAAACAAAATTAATTCAGTTCTGGGACTGAATTAATTTTGTTCCAGTTACTCCAGATTGAATTCATTCCTTTAACAGCACTCTATCAGGTTTCAAGTAACATCATGTGACCCACAAATGGCCCATTGATTGGCTGGTTTACTCATGAAATTTTAAGGAGTATGAGAAATGCTTTGCAAGTAGTCAACATAGATACAGTTACGCACAAGGGTGCAAATGGGGTTGGGAGGGGGCGGGGGATGGGTGGGTGTTGTCACGTGATCTCACGGACCAATAGAGTTGTAGTATTTACATGTGCTTTTACAGAGAGAACCGATTAAAATCATGGAGTAGTTCATAACGCATAGTCTCACTCTCTGATTATAATGTTTACTTCCCGAGACAACCCCAAGACGTTACAGGTGCCGCACGGTTATTGGATAAACCAACACAGGATGACATGATAATGACCAGATATGGTCCACTCCCAACCCGGAACACCTACCTATGCGAAACACGAGTGACACACAGAAACCCCATCTAACAACAGCCGTGCGAAGCAAAAAGGAAATAGACCTAATCAACTGTTTTCCCATTTCCGACCACATGTCTTTCTCTAGAGTATTATTTCTTTGCATAAAGATTGCGCACGAAAAGGCACATGATTATGGATACAACTCAAACAAAGAATCTTATTCTCAAGAGAGTGACACTTTGCAGTTAATTTTTCAATTGCTTACTATCAATCACGTGACTTTTTTGGAGTTGACTTGGGGCAAACAAGCGGTTTGCTGGGGGGCAACTAGCGGATGCTAAGTCAAAACATATCAAAATAAGTCCTCAAACTCTTGTATTTGACTATTTTCACGACATAAAACCAGAAAATAAGAGATCAAAACAACCTCCAGGATTCTACAAGCCATCAAAAAAGAACTATTATCGGAAGTGACGCCTATTGATAGCAACCTATAGACCACCAAATCCTGGTTGCCATAGTTTACGCCGGATGCCCTTTGACAACGATATTCATAATTTGGAAAAGCTTGACAACTTAAAAAACTTGAATTTGAGAACTTAGCAAACATAGGCTCTCTCGTTCCATTATCAAATTGATTGGAATTTAGAAGTTCATTTTTTGCACGGAGGGTGGGAAAACCAGAGAACCCAGAAACTGAAACGCCTTGAAGCACACGAGAGAACCAACTAGAGAATCTACTCCAATATGTCCACATATGACACCGAGTTCGGGAATGGAAACCGGGCCGAGATATTGTGTTTGTAACTCAAACATATATCAATAATTATTTATTTTTTGATAGTTTATGCAAATACCGTATATTTATGGTTGGGCTTCCTGTGCTTAACCCACGTTTACCCATGATACCAATCGGTCATACTACAAGACAAACATGGTGGATTCGTATAAGGATTGGAATGAGAAGAAAATGTAGCTGGTTGAACGGTACGAAATGTAGAAAAACATGAAAGAACTGGTCAGAAATACTCTTGGAGTGTTTTTGGTGTTCCTGGAGTGTTTTATTATGAGTTTTCTCTTTATTGTTAGTGTATTTTTCCAATGACATCTTTCACCCATGGATTGTTCACACGTGATGTTGATTAGTGGTTCCAAGATCATCTTCT